GATGTGTCTGTACAGTCAGTTCTCTAGATACTTCACAAACAATCAAGAGAACTTTAGAGGTGTCAGAAATCATGGAAAAATTCAGTGGCAGAGAAGACTGATTTTCAGGTATCACAGTAACTAAGCAATATTTCCACCCCTTAAAAATAACTCCATGGAAAAATAGGCAGATCTTATACATTCATACTAACTCTTTGGACAAGTATTATTTAATTTCAACAGCACTGATCCCAAATATGTGAATTTTACCTCACAGACTTGCTGTCTTCATTTTGTGACTCCTTAATGCAATCATAAAAGTTTTATGAACTCAAATGACGCTATTAAGAAAGGAAAATTAGCCAAAGCCTCTCTGGACTTATTCACAAGACCAGAATATTCAGTTCTCAGTTTCCATAAACTCTGGTTATACATGAAAATGAAACATTAAAGTGCTGGTCCAGAGCCAAGTTGCCCTAATACATAAAAGTTTAAACTACAAAGCAAGCTGGAAGACATTAGCACTATCCATGTATGAGATCCATGTCATTGCTCTCTTCTAAAAGGCACTGAAGAATGATTATGCCCAAATACTAAAGGAACTGATCAACTTCTCCTCCAAAAAAGCACATCAGACATGTCTTTAGAGCAACATAATATCTTGACCAGCCAAAGAAACCAATCTTTGATTTTCTAGCTGTTGCCAAAAACATAAGACAAAGAAAATTCCTGCAATGTGACATCAGTCAGATGTTGAACCTTCACAGGTTCAGACCAGAGCACACACCTCAAACTGCCCTGGGAACTCCAGTTTCTATACTTCATGACCTTGACACAAGTAAGATGATCTTGTTGCTCTGTGAGATCTCTGCAGTGACTTTGATATGGTGAGCTACAGAAAACAGTCTCCAAAGCATAGAACTAAGTATCTTGGTACATCTATTTGGTCTCTGATAAGACTTGGTGAGGGCAGTGAGTAACTACTTCTTCTTTCCCACATGCTCCCAGAGTTTATGGCTTTCCAGCACTTACAGAGGACCACGAGCAAGACAGACAGGGAATCAGCATGTCCCCACTTTCAAACAGTGTGATCATGGTATTCAGAACTCTGCTTCTTTTTCTCAATACCTTTCCAGAAATAAATACAAATATGTAATTTTTTATACTGACATAGTGATCAGAAGACTTGCTTATAGAATCCAAACACCTGGATACAAGCCTTTCATGGCCTGAGGGTTACTTCAGGGTGAAGTGACAGCAATGTACTCCGTGGGGGACATTGATAGGGACTAAAAACAGGTACCACAAGTGATGGGTCACTGAATAGAAGCATCAAAATTTAGAAAGTTAGAAGCACTGGGAAGCACGGGAGAGCATCACCCCATGGCTTGACATGTTTTTAAAGGGATGTAGTCTCAACTGCTTTATCATGCACTGAATTCAGTGTTGCCTATGTGAGGGATGAATGCTCATGGCAAAGCCTTTGATCTTAAAAGCAATATATACCTATTTTGTGAAGCCAAAGATTAAGTGTCAAAATGTTCTGCAGAGTGGAAATGATGCCAGCCCAGGAAAGCAGAGCAGCAGCACTTTGTGTGCCTAACAAATTTCAGTAGGGAAAACATGACATGTCTCAGGATCCTCAGTCACACTAAAAGTAAACAAGGATTTTATAGGGATTGCTCACCTGAACCCACAGACCTAAATTCATCCCAGGTGGCATTTTTGGCACATAAACACTGGTTTGGTTTTGTTGGGGTTTTTTTATTCTGGCTCTGTGTTTCTTTCTCTCTTGCAACGATCCTGACAAACAATCTATTTGTCTCTGACCTCCACCCTGGATTACTATAACTCACTATGTGGTTGAAGCTGAATGTGTGGGTAAAGAACAGGCTCCAGATGTCTCTGCTCATCTTTTCCAATGCTCACATCGTTACAGAATAACAGACCTGCATTTAAGGCTCTCCACAAGCTTCCAAGTAGTTTCTAAAACAGACCCAATGAAGAACTGAGACATTTGAGGTTACTCACCCCCTTGATTTAATATGCACTCTGTCTCACTGTGTAGGGAGAGTTAAGAGCCTTAGAACTGCAAACCAGACAGCCTAGATGCTGGGAACCCTGTGCACCATGCACAGAGGCATGTCAGAAAACTCCTCCACACTCTGAGGGTCTCCTAGCACCAAAGCTAGCAAAGCTTCCCAGTAGTTAGGAGTAGTTAGGAGTTAGACTTGTAGAACTCCCAAAGAACTAAGAAGTTAGGAGTTTGTAGAACTCCCAAAGAACTAAGATGTCCTATATAGGTATTTTATGAAACACAAAAATTCTGGTAGTAATGAAACCACTCTCCTTTATCTAACATGCTGTAGTTAGTATAGTTACTCCCAAAATGGACAGTATATGTTCCTTTCCTAACTTGGCTGACAGTTGAAGCTCCCATCACCACCTTCAGGGAAAACTCTGCAATCTGTTAACTCCCAAAGAACTAAGATGTCCTATATAGGTATTTTATGAAACACAAAAATTCTGGTAGTAATGAAACCACTCTCCTTTATCTAACATGCTGTAGTTAGTATAGTTACTCCCAAAATGGACAGTATATGTTCCTTTCCTAACTTGGCTGACAGTTGAAGCTCCCATCACCACCTTCAGGGAAAACTCTGCAATCTGTTGCAAAGACATTGTTTTTCTTGTGATCTTTCTGCTCTCAGGAATTTTTAATTCCATCCTACCCAGGGGCACAACTTCAGATTTACTAGAAAGTGTGTTCTTTTTTCATTCTGTGTTTGTCCATCATTGATCTAAAAATGACAATGCAGTTCATTGGCATCTTGTTGAACTAAGGCATTTAAAAGACCAGCATCATTATCAGTAGAGCATTGGAAAAAAATACCCTGAAAAGGCACATTTGAATCTCCCCAGGCTGAGCAACAAGCTCACTCTCAGGTCAGTTGTTTAGTCTGACATTCAGGCTAATATTTAAAAGCTGATTTGCATCACAGCTGCTCTTTTTTTTTCAAGGACTGACTTCACTTCCATTCTGTGAGAAGTTCCATCTTGTTTATGTCAATTAAACATGCTCACACGGTCTTGGGTGGAAGAAAATTCAGGAGCTACATGAGAAATGCATACTTGAGCTCAAAATGAACCAATTCTGTGCCTACACAGAGAAAACTAAAGAGGAAAATTTATTGTTAAATGGGAAAGTATTACAGGGCAGTTAGTCACCTTCAAGGGTAAATGTCACCTGAATTAGGGAGTCTTTAGGATGCCAATTCTGGCACCACATTTAGGCTTAACTACTAATTGTTAGATGAAGTAGAGCCCAAGTACTGCTGCAGATTCCTCACTTCTTCATTGGATCTAATCCATTTCAGAATTTTTAAATCTGTGAACTGTTCAAGGCCTGGTTTTACTGCAGTTTTTATTCTGATATATGAGCCATAGTGGCTGCTAAATAACAAAGCCTCAGCCTAAATATGGGAAAAAGAGGACAGAGCATTTTTTTTCTGGTGACCCAACCATGCATCCAGGGCAGGTCAAGCAAATCAGGCTGTTCACATGTTCAAGAGTACTTGAAAGTCTTCTTACTAGATATGGCAGGAAGGGATTTAGTATTTTGGATTGATAGGCAAGATATTTCTTGCCTCACCTGAACACATTTCTTTGTTCATTCTTTGTCTTTTTCCATGAGGAGGGTGAAACAATGCAGCTTATGTTAATTTTGACTATCACTCTGGCACAAACAGGTTTATATCAAATTTATAGCTCTGAGTTGTGTGGCATGCAAAATTGGACTTCCTTAAGACGAGCCAACTCTAAACTACAACACTGGCTAAAAGAGCTCAGAAAAATTTCAGAATTTCAAAGGCAAATGGAGACTCAGCTGTAACTTGGGAAAGGTGAGTTCCAGACAAAAAGTTATTCAGCTTTTTCTTTCTTTATGTGTTATCTTTCACTTTCTTTCATCTTACCTTTTCCCAAGATGTCTTATTTTTGAGGAGATAGAGAATATGGAGAAAGACCATAGTCCAGAAGTTTAGATTTTCATGTTAACAAGCAATGTTCAGAAAATATACAGGTCAAATATAAGTACATGGAGAACTACAGATGGTTCCTATACAACCAACAGATGTTTCAGGCTGAAAAAATGAGAATATTTTCATGGAACACTTGAACATTTATAGATAGGATAAGGCTTTTCTTGAATTTGTCCATTATTGATCTAAAAATGACAATGCAGTTCATTGGCATCTTGTTGAACTAAGGCATTTGAAAGATCAGCATCATTATCAGTAGAGCATAGGAAAAAAATTGAGAGTGGTTCCCTTTGTGTAAGCTAGTCCAGCAGAATACTAGTATCCTCAAAACCCATGATTTATAAGTGAGAATGTCTGTTCATAGACTATAGAATGAAAAATCAAATTGTTTGATGAGACTGGATGAAAATTTAGCCCCTTCTACACTATTACTAACCTGGAGGATGCTGAAAACTGCAAATTTTTATTTGCTTCATATAATTAGGTTTTAATAAGTTGACAAAAAAAGGCAACTACAACAAATTTAACATATGTAACAAATAAGGAAATTTGCATTAGGTTTGAAGGATCTGGCAGACTGCCATTCACCACAATGTCTGGGAACAAGATAAAGTCATCCATAATTTAACAGATGTTAAACAAAATAAAAATTAAAAAAAGTTCCATTGCTAAAAAATTCTCATAGTGAATTCAGATTTGTCGCTATGCTCATAACACAAGTGACTTGACAAATGAAAAGTCAAGACTGAGATAAATAAAACACATAATTGAATGGCCACACACAGTGTGGGATCTCATAAACTACTGCAAATATTTGTACTGTTCTGAAACTCCTCTTGATTAAAAATTAACTATGTATCCACTGCTTCTATCCAGTTTTCCTGAAAAGAATGAAAAATTTAATTTAAAACATGGCAAAATGTCCTGGTGTTTATACATTTTTTCTCATCTGTAGAAGTACCAAGCATGTGGTTCATTTCTACAATAATTTCTTTCTTACTTAAGAACCAAACAATTCTTGATGAGACATTCCAGTACAACAACTCTTCCCATAATAAAAAATTTATATCTGGGTTCTATTTCGCTTCTTTGCTGAAATGGTGTTCTCATGTTTCTTTTCCTGATACAAATGTCCTTGGTCAAGGTAGATGAGAAATGTAATCAAGCTGCAAAAATAAAGCCCCATTTAATTGATAGTTCAGGTACTGAAGGAAGCTTGTGCCACCTTTGAGTTTGTTCTCTTGTTCAAAGCTGTGCAGATGAAGTTTCCAGCTTCCATCACTGCATTAAGATTTACTCCCTAAAAAAAAAAAAAAGAGGTGAAAAATGGTAAGAATAATAAATGCACGTGTTGAAAATGCTTAAACTCCAAGTTGTTTTGTTTTTTTGCTCCAGGGCCTAATTTTTTTCAAACAAAGGGCCTGATTCATGTTATAGGTTAGTAATGGAGATCAATAGGCTTACAGTGATTTATAGAATAGTTACAGCTTCCAGTTGTTTGGAAGGTTCCACCACTTTGAGAGTGACTTCTTGTCCTACCAGCAGTGCACCAAATACTGGAGTAATATCTTTCAAACTCAAAAGAATCTGGAATAAAGAACCAGAATTACAACTAGAGGATGCCAAAGACTCATTTCATGCGTCACTTCTTGGTTAGATGTTCAGAAGACAAGTATAGAAGAAACATCAATTATTATTTTGATGTATCTAGTCAATCTGAACTGAATAACATATAGCTAAATACTCTCCATCCTTTGGCTGACACTTTAAGTCACTTCAGTCAACAAAATGAAAGCTTTAGTGCACAGCTGAGATGAACATGAGGAAGTGCTCCTTGCAAATGAACAGCATTAGCAATTATAATTTCATTTTGTGCCATTACACAGAAAGGAGCATATTAGTAGTTTTCTACAATAATGACTTTACAGAATTGGCAAAGGTACCAAAATACAACCAACACTGCAAAGACCAAAGGTCTTTGAGGCTCCATGTCTCTCATCCAGTAAACCACTCTGCATTTAATGGGCCAGAAAGATTCGAGAGGCAAAGTCTTGTGTTTTGCCATTGCATAATCTAAAAATAAACCAAAGCAAAACAAAACCACCACAGCCATCAACAAAACAAAGCAAAAGGAGAACTGTCTTTGCTAGTGCCATTCTCTCCATGGGATTTGGTATCAGCCTTTAGGACAAGCTGGATTACTGCTTGGACACCAGATCACTAACAGATTAATCAACCTTATCAAGAAACGTGGAACAAGATGCATTTCGTATAATCAGACTAATTTGATTTAATTGCTTTCTTGTGCTACAAGTCAGTTGGAAAAAATCAATAGGTATTTCGCCCCAGGAAGACTTTACTGAAAGCCTAAGGTGAAGTGAAATGCATGATTTCTCCTCCTTATTTCAAAGAACTGTGTTGTTCCAAAAGAGTGAGTATATTCTTCATGAAGAAAAGGTGTCCCAAAGTGTGTACAAACAGTTTATAACAGAGTCCTCTTGTGCAATGGGCACTTCTGATTGAAGCTTTTCTAAGCAGGTATCTGACATCTACCCAGAATTCCCTAAAAAGCTAATGAAAGTAGATAAACCTTACAGTGAACTCTGTAAGGCACTGAATATGCTTTAATAGTGCTCAGGGAATGTGCAATTCAGAAACAAGTTCCATAATGCTTTTATGTCAAAGATCTCCAATGGCATGTACACTACACTGAACTGCAGCCTACAAACAAGCAATAAGCTGCTCAGTAACTCACATCCTCATATTGCAGACATCAGACATTTCAATTTCTTGCTGCAGCAGTTTGGTTTGCTCACAATACTTTATTGTACCGCACTAGCAATTATGAGGTATGTATCACGTTTTCCAGGAAAAAAAAATGTCTTTTCCTGAAAGTCTTTAGTAGAACTTAAAAGCATCTTACTGTATTGATCCCCAGACCATTAAGCATGTATATCACATCCTCTGTGGCTACATTTCCAGTGGCACCTTTTGCATAGGGACAACCACCAAGCCCAGCAACAGATGAATCCACTACAGTGACTCCCATCTGGAAAATAGCAACACAGAAATGAAACATCATCACAGAGTATTATTTAGAAATATTCATAAATGGAAGGCTATATGTATTAGTTACCATGCAGAAAATATGAATTTCTCCACAAATGGATGTGTTCCTCTGAGCAAATTCCTTGTAATGACCTTAGTTCTGACATCTTTATAATGTTAGACTCTTCAAATGCAGGATATGGAACAACAGGTCCATTACATGTGATTTTGGCAGATGAGATGATTGCTGTTTTAGAGCCAGAGTTTTATATTTGTTCTCTCTTTATCTTTCAATGTCCTGATTTTACATAGCCTGCACCTATTCTTCCAAAGGCTTTCATGCCAACAAACACAACCAATGGAAGTTCTCCTTAAACAGAGGTTCTGAGATTTACCTTGAATATTTTTAAGGAAATACTTGGTGCACATTGTTGAGCTTTCTCACTTAAACTAGTCTTGAATTAACACTTGAAAAAACACTCAGCTGTCATAAACTTATAATCCTCTGATTTTTATTTTCTTCCTGTTGCATCCAAGTGTCTTCTCCATTCTGATCCTCCCAGCATATTCATGATAAAAACTAATAAACCAGGTACCAACTCTGCCCAGAAAATATTACATTTCCTATGGAATAAAACCTTCCCTAGGAGGGAAGGGATCAGAGAAGGGAAAAAAAAAAATGAGCCTGTGTTTTTGTGTGATTTTAGTGAGCTCTTGCACCCTCTGCTTTCTGTGAATGGATTTTAAAATAAGGCTCTGATTGGGAATCAATTTTTTTCTGTTACAACTTCAGGTATGTAATCCAAGACACTGTGTCTCCTTTGTCAGAGAAATTTCTTCAGTCTTCCCCTTGAAAATCAGATGCCCCTGGAGGCATTCAGACTCTAGAGATAATCAGAAGCAGGCAAGGATATTAGGCAGAAAGGACATCAGGTCTTCAGAGACACCAGCTTCTCTCCACTTTAAGCACACAAGAGGGAATCCCTGGGGATAACTCAGGCAGACACACCCCAAAACGATAGAACTAGCTGGCAAGGCATCAAATGATATGTCCTACACGTTGCAGTTGCTAAGTTCCCTTTCCAAATATAGCCATCAGTTGCTTTTTTTTCAGTTCTGAAATAAACTCCCCTAAAGTTTCATTGTATTTGCTTCTAGTTTGAACAGTGTTTTCCATAGTTTTGTCATTGGCCTTACAGGCTCTTCAAAGTTCCAACATTTCTGGAAGGTCTTGAGCATCCTGGTCTAGTGAGGAGGTGTCCCTGCTTATGGCAGGATGGGTTGGGACTAGATGGTCTGTAAGGGCCATTCCAACCCCTAAAATTCTGTGATTCTGTGATTCTAAATGCTAATCCAATTAAGTGTTGTCCCAGGTCCTATTCTTGGACAGGGAATATTATCCTGAGATAGGTAACTGCTTAAAGCCTGTAATAAAGACCTCAGATGAGTTGAGGTGCATGGCTGTAAGAGGCAAGACAGTACTGTTTAATTTTGCTCACACAATGAGAGTCTCTAAGATGGGATATGGCACTTTAAAGTACACTAATCTGTGACTCATGGAGTGAACCACCAAAGTACACGTTTCACATTTCAGTCACTTGTCACACACTTTGTTTGTGTAACCCACTGGTCAGAAAACGTGTTATGCAACACATCTGTGTCCAATACACAGAGGATATGCCTTTATGATAGCTTTCAACTGGAAATTCTGTCTCCTTTTGCACTAGCTGCTAAGATTTACTCTGGATTTTACTCTGGAAGTCATTTCTCTAAGCTCCACAAGCTTTCAGGCTTGCAAGTGTCCCCACAGAGACACACATAAGGCCTCTTAGTGGAAAGACTTAGGTAAAGGTGAAGTTCCATGGAAAAGGGTTTCTAACATGTGGATGTGCAAGTATGATGCAATCAGGAATCCCACTACCATGCCTACTCCCTCAGTCTGATTTGAAGATTTCCATTAGGATTTACTGTTTCAGAGATGAAAAAGTAGAAGAAAGTGTCTTTCATGGAGTTTCCCTCCAGTTGCTGTAAGGTTATGTTATAACTACTACAGCATTCTTCCTGGTGGATATATTTTATGCAACATTTACATGACGATAAAAGTTATGTTAAAAACTATATAAAAGCTAAAAAATAATGTGCTGTGGTCTTCCAAAGGAAACAGCTTCAGTCGCACATAAACAGTCACTTTCTAATCCCAGTCAATTATCTTATTAACAGCTTGTCCTTGAGCAAAAATGTGAAAAAAAACAAAAGGTCAACTAAAATGTGTTTGTGATAAACAGTCAAAAATGTTTGCCAGGTCAAAGCTGGGGAGAAACTCCTCCTGTGTGGTGTATATTCCTATCAGTAGTTTGCTCCAGTGATAGAGTCATAGAATCATAGAATCAACCTGGTTGGAAGAGATCTCAAAGATCATCAAGTCCAACCCTCTCATGGTCACTAGACCATGGCACTAAGTGCCACATCCAGTCTCAGCTTGAAAACCTCCAGGGATGGGGAATCCACCACCTCCCTGGGCAGCACATTCCAATGCCTGAGCACTCTCTCTGGAAAAAATCTCTTCCTAATCTCCAACCTAACCCTCCCCTGGCAGAGCTTGAGTCTGTGCCCTCTTGTCCTGCTGCTGGTTGCCTGGGAGAAGAGACCAACCCCCACCTGACTCCAACCTCCTGTCAGGGAGTTGCAGAGGGTGAGAAGGTCTCCCCTGAGCCTCCTCTTCTCCAGGCTGAACACCCCCAGCTCCCTCAGCCTCTCCTCATGGCACTTGTGCTCCAGTCCCTTCCCCAGCCTCGTTGCTCTGCTCTGGACCTGCTCCAGCCCCTCAATGTCCCTCCTGAGCTGAGGGGCCAGAGCTGAGCACAGGATTCAAGGTGTGGCCTCACCTTCACAGGGCTCTCACTGTAAGCAAAACCAAGAAACAATATCATGCCAGCATTGAAAGGGTGAGTTTTCTAAAGGCACTGAATAAATATACATGTTAATTTCTTTATATTCTTGTGCAAACCCTTGTGATGCCACTGTAACTCTGCATTTGCAGCACAAGTCTCACAACACTGGGGTGCAGGTTGCTCATTGTTGTTCAAGTGTTTGTGAATCCATGGAGGAGTACAGGATGCCACAGCAGCTTGAAGGTACATGAAACACGGATATTTGTCTAACCACATCCTTGTATTCTCAGGCAGCCTTGTCTGACTTAATCCAAACTACTTCCATTGCAAGCTGCAGTCAGCTCAGTCAATTTAGCCTAATGTAGATGCAGCAGCATAAACACCTCAAAGCCTTCTGCTGGCTAAGCAGAGGGAGCAGGAACTTCCACATGACAGACAGTGATAACTGCTCTATCTATTAAAGCATGGACTATTATGGCTAAGCAGAAAAAGGAGAAAATCTTATCACAGCTTAAAATTGATGGCATCCTTGGTGACTTTCATCCTAGCACAGGACACTTAAACCATTACTTCCCAGAAGCAGTGTATAAACCTGATGTCTCTAAAATTGTATCTCCAGCAGGATAGATTTGCTATTTGAACATTAAACCAGTTGCAGACAAGGTCTTGACATGGCATATATAATAGAGCAGCTCTGACTGACCTCCAAATCTAACAGTTCTTCAAATCAGTGCTCTTAATATGTAATGAGCAGGTGTCTCTGCCTTTCAGATAATGTCTATTAAAGTTCTCATCACAATGCTTCTGATGTCTACTGCAACATACTACTATTTCAGCAGCAGGGTCAACTGCATCTGTCTGCTCTTGCATGTGGTACAGACAGATAAAATGTGTTTGCAGTTCATCTTCAGTGTGGTCCTACTCAAAAAAGTCCTTAAATTATCCATACTCCAAGCTCCATTCGAACAGTGCTGAAAACAGATGTTGGAAAACATCCTTCAGCAGTGCTACTAACTAATTTGGAGGTTAATATTACAGCCCAGCCTGTCCAAGCACAGAGTCTAAAATAGCACCTAATAAATAACTTCTCTGCAAGTCTGAGCAGCTATGAAGCTCTTTTGCTTTTGCAGCCATTAAAAGCATAAGGGGCTCTAAAAGAAAATCTAGAAATTGACAAAGCATGTCAAACAAGGTCTTTTCCTACATCACATCTCCAATATTTGTCAGGCTTTTACAGGAGATAATGAGTTTCAAGCCTTTTAGCAACCTGAGCTTGCAAAACATTCACTGTCAATAAGAGATCTTTACAAAGCTCACAGTCTCACTGTCACTGCCTGACAGGCACTAAATCCTGCTGAGATTCATGAGAAGTTGCACTGCAGTTATTTCATAGGATATGTCCTACATGAGCACTCACTGAGCTGCTTATACATGGATATGTTGGGGGGGTAAACAGTGGTTTGACTTTCTCGACAGCTTCAGTGCTCCAATCTCTTTTGGCACTTTGCAGCCTTTTGATAATCACTACATTCCTGACAGTGGTTCCTGAACACCTTCCAGACTTTATCTTTGCCTGGCTTTAGCTTACTGTCTGAGAAGGTAGAGGACTTCTTGCTCCTGTCCCATGCTAACTTCCTAATTCCCCCATGAGAGAGCAGGGAATTAAATTCATCACCATTGTCAAACAGCCAATTTTAACAGGAAACCATTATTGCCAGTGAATAACAAATGCTTCATGTTTCTCAGTTTCCTTTACTACCTCCTCATAACTTCTTGCTGGGACAGTCAGTCTCCTTCCTTACTGATCTTTAAACCTGGCTTTGTCTGGCAGAAGTTTAACTTTGTCCCTCTCTTAAAAATGGCAAGGTCAGCATCAGTAACTCCAGGAATGCATGAGGTATAAATCAGAAGCTATAAATCAGGTCTCTCATAAATTAGGTTTCTTCTAAATGATGAGATTTTGAAGATATAATATCAAGGATCCCAAGTATGCATTAAACAGGAAAATATCTGTTGTGCCACAAAATTTAGGGGCCACAGCATTGTGAAGTTCAGTACCCAATGCTTTAAAGATAAGTGAATGTAGATATTGCAAAGAATCACTGTATTA